TTTCGTGGGACTTAAAGGGTTAGCGTCATCTCACTGATAAAAATTCTTTTTTCACAGCTACCTGGCCCTCCTGGGCTTGAGCAAGTGAAAGGAAGGAAATGCTGTGAAGAAGTAGTGTCAAAGAAATTGTAGAATTTATTGGCCATCCTAAGGTTGCGGGGAAGAATTTTGACCCAGTTTCGTACGCAGCCTTATCATAGCCACTAAACAACCAAAGGCGTCTTCAGGACAATCTCTAGTGGGTTTTGTTGTCCGGTTAAGTAGATCGAGTAAGTTAACATGTCAACTGAAAACGAACTACCACAAAATAGTTTGTTTTAATAAAAATCACTGTATATGTCCTTCGCTGTGGCGTTTTTTCACCTGAACTTTAGCGAGCAGCAAAGTCGACCCGTCTTTAGCGTTTATTTAACGGAAATAATAATAATAATAATAATAATAATAATAATGATGATAATGATAATGATAATATTTTATTATTTGTAAGACACGAAGTAGCATTTAAATATGATTTAATGCGCTCTAACAAAAAAATATATAAAATTATACGTAAAATTTCCTAAAAAAATTAAAAGTTTAGTATAAATCTCTCTATATATACAGTTAAAAAGGCAATTATAACATTCGATCATTAATTGTGTTGTAACTTAGTAATTAAAATTATCTTAATTATCTTAAAGGTTAATTGATTAGTCATTATAATAATCGTAAATCTATAAATCATAGGCTTCTTTAAAACGTAAAGCTTTTAGTTTAGCTTTGAAAGACTTCTTTGCGAGGTATTTCTGTAGTTTTGCAGCTGAAGAAACCGAACATCAAAACACAAATCGACGTTTTTTTTAGCATAAAACTTAATCGGTGGCTTTCAACACCAATGGCAAACAACACTACTAGAGCATCTGTAATAATGCATCAGTCAATTTCAGCTGCTCCCAGCGCCCCCCGCCGGGTAACTGCGGGGCATTTGCAAATTTTGTGCTGCCCGGGGGCCGGGCATTTGCCAACCCCGAGCTTTTGACACGCACGCGGTTTCCTATCAGAATATAACTACACAGAGGATTTTACTGGAAAACAAGCAGATTGGCTCATTTGTCAAGGACAGGAAAAAATTGAAGAGGTTTGTAGAGGCATGTTCTCCATTGTATGTATGCATTTCTTCAATTACAGAGCGAAACTCGGGAGCTATCGACGTGAATTTTTTTTTTTTTTTTTGTTTATTGAATCAAGTTTCTCTTGATGTTATTTGAAGAACATCCTTTCATATTTATAAAACTATTCATAGCAGTTAACTCTACAGCGCACTATTTCGGGGGTGGAAGCGGAATCATGAATCATGAATCATAGTTACAAAACTTGTAAGAATCATGAATCTTTGTTTTTAAAACTGGGGAATCATGAATCTGTACTTCGGCTCGGGAATCATAAATAACGAGTCTCTGAGAAAAGCGCAACAAAATAGACGTATGAATTACGGAATGCAGGATATGGCGTTTCCGCGAGTCCAAATGTCAATTTTTTTGGGGGGGAGCATGCCCCCGGACCCCCTATACAATTCGTGCATTCGAGCGATAGTCTGCTTGTTTCTCCAGTGACGTTGGTGCTTAAAGTTCAGTAACAAAAAACTAGTCCGTATCTGGACAAAAGGAATGATGATACTGAGAAACAGTGGTCAAGAAATCTATATAATTCTGGATGAAACAGAAGTTTAAACACCAAAAAAACTACGCAAAACTAGACAAAATAGCCCCTGAGAAATTCATTTCATGAATAAGTCATCAAATGTCTTCGTAAATCATGAATCTGGAAGAAAATTCTTGTAGGAATCATGAATCATTGAGGTAATATCGACAGGAATCATGAATATCAAGATTCAAATGATTCCGCTTCTACCCCCGAGACTATTAATTTAATGTCAATAATTCACAATATGAAAACCATAAACTGGTGTCTTCGCGGCGTGAAGTCTCAATTAGAAAAGCACTATTACAAAGGAAGACGTTAATTGAAACAAAAAATCGCACATTAAAATGCTTAAAATGGCATTACTCGACCGTTCGATCAATGAAAAATGTTGCAGTGTTGACGGAGGACGGGGCATTTGCCCTCTTTTTTCGTCCCCACCCCGGGGGATTTGACAGCTCTAGAGTCCCCACCCCGGGGAATTTGCCATACAAGGCAAACAAAATGCTAATACATACATACATACATACATACATGTTTTATTTATTTCGAGTCTTATACAATAAATAGTATATCAACTATTTCCAAATAACTAAAATTACAAACAGCCAAAAATTCCTAACCGTATATGGTTAGTAAGTTATTAATTAATTAAGTCCTAGAGTATTTATGTTTGCCGTCTTCCCCCTTCCTTTTTTCAAAGCATTCGAATATATGTTTTGATATTAGTTTTTGTATTTTGGCATTTCCGTCAGGGGGGTGGGGGCTGGGCGGAGCTGGAATTGACTGTTGCATAACGAAGATACCATCCGGAGAATGGATATTTCTTATAGCCCTGAACTAGTTGACCTTTCTAAAAAATATTAAGAATCGCGATCGGCGTAATTGATACGTTTGACGCAACAGCAGGTGAATTTAAAATTTGAATTTTTTTCCAATTAAATTTCAGTTTCTGCTCAGACCTACCACAGTTAAATTTGCTCCCTACTTGTATTTCGTTCACACACTTTTTTGTCCGAGGAAGGTCGCGTTCAGTAGCTTTGCAGCTGAAGTTACCGAACTTTAACAAATCGGCGTTTCTTTTGCATAAAACTTAATCGGTGGCTTTCAACACCAATGGCAAATAACTCGAATGGGACATTTGTAATAACGAAGACACCAGCAGGAGTAGGGATATTCATTACAGCCCTGAACATTTTTCTTTCCATCTTTGCAACTCTGGGCAATGCTCTCATTCTGCTTGCTCTACGAAAAGTTTCCGCCATTCATCCACCAAGCAAGTTGTTATTACGATGTCTGGCAGTTACTGATCTCTGTGTTGGTCTTATATCTCAACCACTTTACGTTTACTACATTTTAACAATCCATCTCGATATTGGTAACCCCATTGATGAAATTCTTGTTGCAGACATCTTTTTCTATAATGTGTTGCTTGCGGTATCGCCCCTAACATCGGCTGCGATCAGTGTTGACAGACTTCTCGCTCTGTTGTTGGGTCTGAGATACAGACACGTTGTAACTTTATGCCGAGTTCGTGTGGTCATAGCTTGTTTTTGGCTCATTGCTGTTTCAAACTCTTCTTTGCTCTGGGTGGATTTAATCCTACTCAGTGATAAGGTAGGACTTGCCATGTTGTGGACCTTCATAGTTTTAACATTGATTTCGGTAATAATCTCAACATTTTCGTACGCGAAGATTTTTTTTACCCTCCGTCATCGACAAGCCCAAGTACAAAATCATGTCCAACCAGAAGAGTCGAGCAGAATAAGAAGTGTACTGAACATAGCACGGTACAAGAAGACAGTGTATAGCGCAGCTTGGATACAGTTTGCCATGATTGCTTGTTATGGTCCTTGTATTATATTGACAATTTTATATATTTCGGGTAAAAAAAGCTATATTACCACTGAACTAAAAATCGCATTGGAATTCTCCTATTGTCTCTCCTCTTTCAATTCATCTCTGAATCCTGTCCTTTACTGTTGGAGGATCAAAGATGTCAGACAGCAAGTGAAGAACACCATTCGTAAGTGTCTTTGCTGTTGAGTTTACTTACAGTGACAGAGAAAAGATGCAACAGAACAATGAAGACAACTGGCCATCTAGACTTGCTCACAAGTCGAGCTTTTGAGCGCGTAGCGCGACTGTGAGCGCGAAGCGCGAGCGAGCGAAAGCTACCACACCAGACCAGAAAACCAAGCGAACGACTTTGAGGAAGTCTACTGGCCATCATGAACAGTGCCGTTACCATGATATCGAATGACACCCCCGCACACTATCTATCAGTAGTGATACCACACACTATACTGATATGACATTTATGGTTCATCGTATAGGTTATCCCTGTACTTTAATTTGGTCGTTTTTTTGTCTAAATATAGAGTAATAAAAGAGGTTTGAAGATGTTAAGGTCGGCATTTAAACGAAGTCTAACTTAGAGCGCGGTTTAAAAAGTCTTTGAACCTCTAGATCGCTTCCTTAGTGGGTTATTTTAAGAAGGAAAATACTTTTCTATAGTCTACGTTATAAGCTTTAACGAAAACGTTCACGAAAAATGGTGTTTTATTTAAAAGCGTTCGGCGAAGTGAGAATGGCTTATAACGCGTTTTTGTTAAACACTGGTTAAACTCCGTAACTGACGTAACTGACCCAAACAGTTCGATCGCGGGGGTTACATTATTTTGAGTCAAAATTTGAAAGTTTCTTTTTGGTTGTTTTTTTTGTCTTAATAGAGTGAGAACTTTAAAATTTGTAGTTGGTAAGACTGCTAAAAAAGCCAATAAACTGTTTATAAAGAGTTTCAGTCGGCTTCTGCTCGCCAGGAAAATAAGGCCCGCTGTTACAGTCATTAATATTCACAGTTCATGCATGAAGTATAGCAGAGTAACCCCCGCACCTTAATTGTTAGATTGAGATCTCTGTTGCAGAAGAGAATAAAAGTAGATATTTTGGAAACATTGGTATCATAGGAATAAGGTTATACTTGATAAGTTAACAGATCTGTAATTAAAATGATAAAAGTGAAGCCCATTCACAGTTCTCCCTGTTAACAGTTATGGTTTTTTCACCACCGCATTTTATAATTATTTACCTACTATAATTGTCTTTGTATAAACAGGAAGTTTCAAATAACGATTTGCATTTAAAATTAGGCGTTAGCAAGGAAAAATAAAAGTGCTGTCGCAAAGTGAAAATAGGCTTTTGACTGTTATCTTTTTAAAATTTAACCCATTTACCTCAAAATTGAAAATGTGTCACTTAGTTTACTCAGGAGCCCATCAAAGATAACCTTTCCGTGATCCTCAGTTCGCTGCCCTTGTCCCATCGCTTCGTACTCAGTAAAAAAGGAAAACGGTCGAAGGACGGGCTTCTGAGTTCGACTTCACCCAACTTTATTTTTTCACGGTGACATACGAGACTCACGGAAATATGACACTTTTCGCGGGAAACAAGCCGTTTTATTTATAAATCTACTCGGGAAGGGGTTGACTCAAGAAATTAATGAAGCGGGAGGCTCCATCTGATGGGCTCCTTGTTTACTTTAATAGCACATAGCACCTAGGCTTTTGTACATTATGCTAGCATTTTTTCGAGCATTTTAGTGAGGCAAAAGCATTGAGCATTATTCGAGCATTTTAGTGAGGCAAAAGCATTGAGCATTATTCGAGCATTTTAGTGGCATTTTCCCCGGAAAATTAATTTTTCCGAGAAAATAAAATAGAAATTAACTTTTTTCAGGAGCCCATGCCCCATGAGCTCCTGCTTTTTAAAACAAAATGAAGACTAAAATTCAAAATTCACAAAAAAACCTAATGCAGCTGGTTTTTTTGGCTGTATTTATGAACTTGTACACGTTGTCGTTGTTACTTGCAACACTTGCACGTTTTTGTGAGTGTAAACTTTGAAATTAATATAAAAAAACCCGTTTGTATAATGAGCATTATCCGAGCATTTTAGTGACTTTTTTGGGGAGACCGAGCATTTTAGTGGGAAAAATGGAGCATTAAGGTGGAGCATTTTAGTAGGGAAGCAAAAGCATAATGTACAAAAGCCTAATAGCACCCCAGGACACCCCGGATGGATTTTATTTGTACGGTGCCCAGGCCTCATTTGCTTGGCTGCGAGTTGATCTTTGAATCCTTCGAGGTTGTGAAGTCTGCTGGATTCGTTTCTCTAGCTGGGAAAGCTTCATTAGTTTCTATATCTGATGCTATCCTATTTCTACGATCCTAACATGTTTATTTACCGTTGGAGGTCGAATTTCGTAAAAAAGTTGTGTTGGAAAAGGGAGCATGGCGACCGAGATGCCACGTGCCTCTTACCTTGTGTCTTGTATGGAGGGTGAATTTGAGAAAACTATCACGAAAATTCGTTTGAGCTTTAAGGACAACAACAACTAACTGTAGAGTAAGTTTCATTGACCTTTATTCAGTATTTCCTACAAATTTTAGGATCGTATTTTTACTCCATATTAACAACACAGCGCCTGGGGTACCTGTGGTCTTACGTACAAAATAGAGTTGCGCCGTGATAATGCAATCGAAAAAGAAGAAATGCAAAGGTTAGCATATTCGAAAATTATTTAAGGGCCCACGTAAAAGTGAAGCTGCCTTTCATGAGCTGACCGCTACAGCCCGGAGCTGCTACTAAGGAGGAACAACACGAAATTTCTCGTACCGGGAACATGGGAGATGCAACACGAAAGAAGTTGAAGCTGGAACAGGAAGCTGGAACGTCAAACGGCGATGCGGTGAGTTTTTAAAGCATCTTCCCGTAGAAATATTCCTGGATAAATTTGTAATCCGTCAAATTCGAATAAATATTCTATATCAAATAATGCAGTGTTCTTACCAGGATTTTATACGCTGTAAATTAAGAACATTTAAAATTTGTAATTTCAAAAAAGTTAAAACATAGACTGCGTATAGACTCTGTAGGATAGAGAAGCTAAAAAGGGGACTATGAGAGGGAGAAAATTAAAGCAGGTCGCATTTAGTACATACGGTTAACTCGACATTTTTACCGGTCTGAGTAAGAGTGAATACCTTGTACTCTCTTAGATAATGGTGGGTGTTTTCTAAAGACGCCATAAACTATTAAATTTTGGCTTATATTATAAGGAAGTGTACGTTTGGTATACGTATGTAAACATACGTACACGTAAACATTCCCTCTTCGTGCCCTTTGGCACCCGGCCTTGTGCTAATTATATATAGTGCAGCATTTTCTGAAAAAGTGGGCAATGGCGCAATGCTGCAGTTTGCTAAGAACACATACTTGTCAAACCTTAATAACTTTCATTTGCTTTGAGAAACCAATTTTGTTTCCCTCGGAACTCAACGTTTGAATCTCAATCCTTCCCTCTGTTCTTACTTGGAAAACAATGCAACTCTTGCAGACTCCCCTGATTGGCTGGTAGAGCACTGCACTCCAAAGCAGGAGTTAATGAGTTCAATGGGCCCTTTGCATGAAGCAGTCACGTGGTACAAAAAACACCTCGCTGTAAGGCAAACAATGCCATGGTACCTTGAAAAGAGAAAATATTAGCTAATTTTGAATGATCTGATTTCTTTGTTTTTCTTATCTCTCTGTATTGTTTGCCTTTCAGCAAGCTCAGCGTTTTTGTCCCATGTGGGTATTGCTTAAATTGGAAAATTTACTGCAATGATCATTCTTCACTTTCATCTACAACCGCAGTTCAAAAATGAATTATTTCATATATACTTCACATTTGGGGATATACTGATCAATTTCCGTACATGTATCTTCTATTGCTTTATTCTGGACAAAATAACTATGATTGAAAACAAGAAAGTTTATAGTGGCACATGCCTATAAAACCTATATATATTTTTTGTTTTTTGTGTTTTGTTTTTTTGTTAATTTTTCCTTTATTCTTTGCACAAGCACTACAACATCTATTCCAATAAAATACTACTACAAGTACACAAAATACACTTCCTACTATACATAAATAATGGCTGACACAAAGACTGTTTAGGTACAATTACTACTATAAAATAGGATATAAGTTTTTTTTTTGCATTCTAATTCTCACTACCACGGCAGAATAGCTGAAACTTTTCCCATTTACTTTCCTGATCGGCAACATATATAACACTCCTTCTTGCAGGGAACTTCAGCAAAGCAAGGGATTCCTGCTGGAGCTTCTGCAAACTCAATGTCCTCTCTTGGTCACAAAGTTCTGTTGGATCGCTTATATGGTACTATTTATGGAAACTGCATTGGAGATGCTATTGGACTGCTGACTGAGTTCATGAATAAAACAAAGGCCATCAGTGTGAGTTTTTTTCTTTCCTGCTGTTTCTGTCAGGCTATTCAAATTTGGGTGCACATATGGCCAGTCACAGTTGATATCAGTGGGCTGTTTAGGTTCAATGGGAGGGGTGTGTGCTCTGGCTCAAACAATAAGGGGCTAGCTTGCAATGCAATTTGAGAGTTGATCCAGTTAATCCAGGAGATTAGACATACATAAGTACATGCTTTAATTAATTTGGAAAGACCATAAACACTATTAATTATACACTATCACTTGGCTGCGTTAACAAGAGCACAGGACACTAAATTGACGACTTCCACTGAAATTTTAGTCACCATCTACCTACAGTGGTATAAGCAAAAAACAGTCAGGGCTAATGTGTCACTGGCTACTTATCAGGGTTATGATAACTTTCCCGCGGATATTATTGGCTTGCTATAATTTTTAACTTTGTTTGTTGGGGGATGGTGAGAATTGTTATACTTTTTGGGCCAGAGTCTGTTTTCACCCAAGTGTACATGTTACAGGTCAAAATTAGGTTGATTATCAATTTCCTTTGTCTCAAGCCCTAATTCATGACTAAAAATACTCCTAGGTGATTCATGCGACAGAAACTGTGTTAAGCTCTGGTTGTGTACCCCCCCTTGGCTCATGAAGGCCTAAGCCTACCTTAGGAGATACCTCACCACAGTGTTGTTTGTTTTGATATGTAGGTTTATGGTCGTCAAAGGCCGCATTTAGAATATCACATGAAACACAAGGACCGCCACCGAGGAAAATTTGACACAGGAGACTGGACAGATGATTCAGATCAAATGATTCTGATTTTGCTGTCTCTGATAGACAACAAAGGAAAGGTGAGAAGAGCCTGTACATCGATCATTACCTGAAATGACCTAATAAATGCCCATTTCCCAATAAACGCCTCTTACATAGCCCCCTCTATGCTGTTAAAATTGTATGCCCCTTTCTAATAAACTCCTCTTTTTTAATAGATCCCCCCCCATGAGAATTACTCCAAAATACTGGGAATTAGCAAAACAGGAGCAAAATCGTTCATTTCATTCAGTTTCTTGCTTGATTAACAAGGCTGATGTTTATTTTATCTTGCTCAATGTCAAGATCAAAGTAAGGATGGACCAACGATGGTGACGCAATTACCCTGAGCAAGAATTCTGACATCGATGTTGGGACTTGATAGAGCGATTTGTAGAGGTACTATACCTCCTGAGATCTAAATTCTGGACTAGGAGACCATTTTTTTGTAGCACTCCCCACCCCCATCCCAATATCAGCCACCTCCCCCACCCTCTTCACCTCCCTCAATAAACACAGCCCAGTATATTACTGTGTATGTGAAGTCTAATATCAATTGAACAGCATCAAAAATGGCTTCTACGACTGGATTGATGATATAATCTTATTTTCAGTATTCAAATATGGGACAAAGTGTCTGAAGTTATTTGGTGTGCAACAAACACAGACTGTAGACTTGCAGGCTGGCAGGTAAGTGAGGTAAACATTGTCATGAAATGTTCTAAAAGATTTCCTATCCCTAAACTGGACTTTTAGGAGACTTAGGGATAGAGAATTTTTTGTTAGAGCAATATTTTACAACAATGTTTACAGGGTTGTCATTAAGAGCCGGGGGCCGGGGATTTTCCCCGGCTACTTTTATTGGAAAATAGAAGAAAAACAAAACCAAAAGAAATCCCTAGCTGTTTGATTCCCCGTGTACTTGTTGTATTTACGCAGCAACTTGAAATCTTAGTGACAACCCTGGTTTACCAGCTCCTTTACCTGCTACGCAGTCTGCAAGTCTGCAGCCTGCACTTGTTGCACACCGGAAGTTATTCCACCCCCATAACCAATGGGTCATTTTCTAAAACCAGACCCAGTCTCTTAAAAACATTATTTCCTGTTTTATCACCTAATTGATAGATGGAGCCTGTTGACTATGCTTTGAAGCTGAAGACATGGAGCAGGAATGGTTTCAAGGAACTTGGTGACAAGACAGGAATGGGCATGGGAAGCACAACACGCAAAGTGTTGCACCATCCTCAATTTCTAGAGGACCCTCATAAGGTATTACCACCTGCATGATAAATTCATAGACTTTCTAGAGGGGACTCCTTAGTTGGTGATTGTCTTTATTTAGAAACAGCTAATGAAAGGAATTTATGCAAACAAGCAAGGTTATGATGGGTACGAGTTTTCTGAATAGAAAATCAGCATCACTGGGTTCCCTTTGTCCATTGTATTGTACTGTTTAAAGAACAATTGCTTTGGGTTTGGGGTTGGAGGGTGAAATACACATCAAGGAAAGACGTTCAAGTGGCAAAACAAAATGTAAAATGACTTAATTATAATCGAGAATGTCTTTGCAGTGTGTTTTGCATTTTGGTTCATTTGGTCTTCTGCCAAAAGACAGTAGGCACCAATTCGAAGTGGTCGTTTTATGGAGTGATACATCCTCAGGAGCTGATTTTATTAATGGGCATCGGATAGCCTGCATAGCAAGCGTTCCCACGCAAGTTCGGCAAGAAAGTTCAATAACTCAATTGGAAACATGCTTGCTATGCAGGCTAGCTCCTGAAAATATTAGGAGATGATTACATCTTGAGGAGTCACTGTGGGTATTCAGTTCTTCACATCCAACAAATGTGTCCTTTTACACAGGGGTAACTGTTTTAATTTTCTCCATCAGGCAGCAACAGACGTCTGGGAATATTCAGGCCGCTATCTTGCTCCAAATGGAGGTGTCATGCGCACTTCAGTGCTTGGAATACATGACTTTGGTAACATTGATGCTGTAATAAGTAACACAATGGCCACTTGCAAGGTCACGCACGTAGACCCAAGATGCATTGCATCGTGTGTTGCTGTGACAACAGCCATTGCAATGATGTTACAAGGAAAGCATTTAAAGTATTCAAGGGATTATGATGTTGAGGCAGTGATTAAAGATGCATACAAGTACGCCTGTAAGACACTTGAAACTACAGCAGAGGTAATTCTATGAATTTTATGTGGAAGTAGTACCATTTTTGAATTTTTACCCTTTAGACCCTAAGATCAAAATTTGAATTCTCATTTATTGCACTTATTCATTTCCTACAGAATTAGTGGGGAGAAGTTCATAAAACATCAAGCAAATTCATCTTGTGTGATCATATCAGTAATTCTCATGACCACTCTGTTTTACAAAGCATTGATATTACAAGGAGAAATTTGAGGCTGATCACTCTTAGGGCTTAAATGGTTAATGTCATATAATTTATGTATTGTTAAGAAAAAACTCGTGTCAATAAAATTTTAAGAAAAATAAGAATTTGAATTTCATTTCAAAATAGTTGGCAGTTATAACAGTGAAGACCAGAAAGCAGCATCGCCTTCTAATCTGAATAATCTGGAACAAAAATATTTAAACATTCAGTAAATCTAAAATGAAGTGGAGCTTGTTGGTATTAGCTGACCTTTGAATCTCTATTTTTAGGCTGAAGAGCTAAAGAAGTACATGTTTTGTACGTCATTGGATGACCTCCAGCTCGATGAGAGTGTTAAAATAGGCTACACATACAAATGTATGGGGGCAGGATTCTGGGCTTTGAGGCAGAACGACTTCCGAACTGCATTGGAAGCCATAGCATATGAGGTAACTTCATGTTCAAATCAACTTCTGGACTCATCATCTGAGAGGTTTTGTTTAATAGAGAATGGATTTGACAAAATTAGTCTGAAAAGCAGTTATTCAGCTAAATGTTTTCCAGAGGCTCAACAACCCGTATGCCGGTACGCATATGCGGACATGAAATGATGTCGAAGATTCGAAAGATATTAAGTAAAAAGGACAGAGTTTTACTATTCCCCCTTTCAAGTTTTTTCATTCATAAAGAACAGTAAGATAAATACTCTCGCCATTTTTTGCTTCAAACGTTTTACTTTTGAATTACCCATTTTATGGATTCTTGGAGAACCTCAACACATTTTAGCTAAGGACAGCTCGTGTACAAGCCGGAGAAAACTGGTAACATTTCGTGACGCCAAGAGGAGCCTCTCACGAAGACATTTTTAGTGGAGCTCCTATTTCGTTTGTGGGGAGGGAAGATACGAGCTCCCCTAAAAACTATTTAAAAGCTTGCGTGGGAGGCTACACTACCACTGGTTTCCCCGCGAAGTCACGTCTGTGAAATGAGCACTACCCTGATCTCGTTAGTGCTTCTACCGATTGGTTGAGGCAAATTTCCCTCTCTGCAGGACCAATCAGAAGCACGACCCAGATCTTGGTAGTGACGCATCATCAGTATGGAATTTCTGTGCTCATTTCTCAGACATCATTTCGCAAGGAAACCAGAGCTGATGTCGCGAAAGGTTGGCTACTTTCTCAGGCTACTTGTACTTGCGTACCAAATTCCAGGCTACTACAGTTTGTTTTAGTCTGGTTGTGTTTCTCATCTTGCAGGGTGGGGATGCTGACACTAATGGCGCGGTAGCCGGAGCTCTGTTGGGCTGTAAACTTGGTAGCAGTGCTCTTCCACCAACTTGGCTCAAAGGACTGAAGCACAAAGGCTGGTTAGATGGACATATAACAAAGTAAGCTGTTTTTTTTTTTAAACAAAAGCATTCACAGATTCTTCTGCGGTATATCAGATAATCCTTGTGCAATACACAAATTTGTGTCATCCAGGAACCCGTTTATTGAAAGTCCTAGAGGTAACTTTTCGGCCCCATAGGCAAACTTTAAAATCAAAACGTTTTCAATGAAAGCATGGATCCTGGCTCTCAAACCAGACGTCTGATAACAACTGTAATATAACTGTAATACAACCGTTAGTAGACGTCTGACATCATATAACTGTTATCAGACCTCTGATGACAGTTATATAACATAACATTATGAAATCAGACATCAGATGTCTGGTCTGATAACAGTTATATAACATAACATATAAAATCACATGTCTGATAGCAGTTATATGACAGCAGACGTCTAATAACAGTTATATAACATACATACACAGACATCAGATGTGTGATGACAGTTATATGTCATATAACTGTTATCACAGTTAACAGATGTTAAACAGTTATATATACTGTTATATATATTGTAATATAACTGTTATATAACAGTATATATAACAGTATAAATACTGTTATAAACAGTTATATAACTGTAATATAACAGTTATAGATACTGTTATATAATGTTATATGACTGTAATAACAGTATTTGACAGTTTTTTATATAACTGTTATATAACAGTTATGTTATATACAGTATATATACTGTTATATAACAGTACATAACAGTATATATAACTGTTATATAACAGTTATATATATACTGTTATATATTAGTTATATAACTGTCATATACTGTTATATAACAGTATATATTACTGTTATATGACAGTTATATAACTGTAATATAACAGTTATATATACTGTTATATACCAGTAATAACAAAATATATAGTGTTATATAAGAGTATATATACCTTATATAACTGTTATATAACAGTTATATAACAGTATATACAGTTCTATATCCTGTTATATAACAGCATATATAACAGTTATATAACTGTTATATTACTGTTATATAACAGTTATATAACTGTCATATATATATAACAGTTATATAAGTGTTATATACTGTTATATAACAGTTATATAACAGTTAACAGTTATATAATGTTATATAACTGTTATATAACAGTATATAACAGTTATATAACAGTATATACAGTTATATATCCTGTTATATAACAGTATATATAACAGTTATATGACTGTTATAACAGTATGTAACAGTTTTTTATATAACTGTTATATAACAGTATAGAAGTTTTATAACTGTTATATAAGTATATAACAGTTATATAACTGTTATATACTGTTGTATAACTGTTATACAGCTATTTCGAGAAAGGTTGTCAGGCAAAATGTGCACGCGACAACCCCGAAAGGTAATATGGGATATGATCAATACACCGTTCCTAACGACTGTAGCTGTCGAACCTACTTTTGTTGCTTTTCACTAGCACTTGCGAACATATGTCCGTGGCCTCTCGTGGCATTCTTTCAAATTTCTTCGGAGAACAGGGCAGACAAAACCACCCACAATACCTTTCGGGATTGTCGCGTGCACTTTTTCCGACAACCTTTCTCGAAACAGCTGTATACAGTTATATAAGTGTTATCTAACAGTTCTTTAACAGTTATCTTATAGTATAACAGTTATGTTATAACTGTTAACGTCTGACATCTGCTGTCATATAACTGTTATCAGACGTCTGATATTAGGCATCAGAGATCTGATAATTAAGCAATAGACCACACTTTCTATGGGTTTACCGGCGTGATAACCCACTTGGGATGTTGGGAGAACACTCGAAAAGCTTGTCAATCACTCGCCTTCGGCTCGTGATTCACAACATTTTCTTGTGTTCTCCCAACATCCCGCGTGGGTTATCACGCCGGTAAACCCATAGAAAGTGTGGTCTATTGCTTTTATAAAATAACTTTTAGTAGAATGGAGTCTTTTAGGGAAAAAATATGATTTTAGTACCGTGATCAAGTCATGTCTTCTCTCTAAAGTCATCATAAGCCAATCATGTCTCACGATTTAATAGCGTTGAACTTTCTCAAAACTCAGTTCAGTCAAACAACAAACAGCAGCACTTCAAAACACGAATTTTTGCACTCATTACATGGTAACTTATGAAAACTGTTTTTCCAGGAAAAGTCAACATTTATTCATGCGAACGTACAATGAAAGAATACGTTCATGGTTTGTTTACTACAGAAGTAGAAATTAATTGAACATCAGACTGTACGCAGCTGTATTTTGTTTGAGTCGATCCGTACGACTTTCGTGCTTACAGACGGAACTGGCAGCTATTTTAATGGAGGACTTCATTCACATTTTACAAGCCGCAGTGGTTTAAGATCTGTTTTCTGGACTTTATTATGATTAAGAAATGCTGCGGTAACGACGTGGCTGCATTTGCGAAGTTGTCGCATGTAACTTTATATGCACGTACAGCGACCGATGGAAATATGTCAGTGGTGCATGGAGATAGGTTTCTTTGCCGTAGCCACATATTGGTGTTAATATTTGTCGATTTGTAAAGTCAGGTGGTTTGAGGTAGGTTATGGCATCGATATCAGCGAATAATTTGTGCAAATGTTGGAAAAAACCAGCCCGAAACTCTGACATCTTTCACCATCGTTGGCAGCTTGTTTACAACCTACAGCGGCCGATTTTGTACCATGTCTTGATCAGAGATCTCTTTTTGGAAGAATTTCTTTCACTAAGGAATTTAATTTTGACATAAAATAAATCAAGAATGCTAAAACTATCCGCTTCGCTGCTGGTTGGCACATGGTTAAGTTTTTCTGGAGCCTTTCTTCACCAGAAATTCACACAGTTGTTGCCTTTCTCTGCGATTTGGCATCGTCGTGAAATGTAAACTGCTTTCCAGCTTTGTACTTTACTACTTCTAAAGCTATGGCAGTAATAAAATGTGGAAACCAGCGCTTTTGATATTAAGAAGGGCTGGGTAAGTAACTTGTTCTGTTTTTTAGCCTTCTAAAATCATTGTTTGCAGATCAATAGCCTGTTTTGTTTATGGCTCGTGGACCGGATGCCTTTTTCTATGGGTTTACCGGTATAATAAGCCATAGGTTTTTGACCAATCAGATCACGCGTACTATCTCAGTTATTTTATAACAGATAATATATGACAGCAGATGTGTGACATCAGACGTCTGATAACAACTCTAATATAACATCAGACAATTTTCTTTCATTCTCGGACAGCTTCATTGTAGTATTTTTAAAGGAATTAAAACATTGATGTTGAATTTCAACGCAGAAACATGAAATCGCTTTGTTTGTTTGGAAAGTTTCGAAACGTTTCTGCTTTCTTTAAAAAAACGCACGCCAGGGTTTAGTTGTTCAAAATGTCGATAGCGCTTTGCATTGTGTAAATCTCTGTCCAGTAGATAACGTAAAAACTAATTGGTTTTCCCAATGCTTATCCATTGGAAGTGATTTATCTGTTGGATAGAACTGAGCTATCCAAACCTGGGACTATTATTACTCTGTCAGGTGTCTGATATCAGACGCCTGATGTGAGACGTCTGATATCAGACGTCTGATGTCAGGTGTCTGATAACAGGTGTCTGATATCAGACATCTGATGGCAGATTTCTGTTTAAAAAAAGTCTGACATCTGGTTTTAGATATCTGTTACAAGACGTCTGATATCAGGTGTCTGATAACAGACGTTTGATAACAGTTGTCTGATATCAGACGTCTGACGTCTGATTTCAGCTGTCTGCTGTTACACGTCTGATTTAAAATGTCTGATTTCAGACGTCTGATGTCAGATTTCTGTTATCAGATGTCTGATGTCAAATGTCTGATATCAGATGTCTAATGTCAGACGTCTGATGTTAGTTGTCTGGTAATCAAACGTCTGGTGACAGGTGTCTGATATCACACGTCTGAGGAGAGATTTCTGTCATCAGACGTCTGACATCTGATTTTATACGTCTGATGTCAGATGTCTGATATCAGATGTCTGATGTTTGACGTCTGATGTCAGGTGTCTGATAATCAGACGTCTGATAACAGGTGTCTGATATCAGACGTCTGATGTAAGATTTCTGTCATTAGACGTCTGACGTCTGATTTTAGACATCTGTTATATGACGTCTAATGTCAGGTGTCTGATATCAGACGTCTGATAACAGTTGTCTGATATCAGATGTGCGATACCAGATTTCTGTTATCAGATGTGTGATTTCAGACGTCTGATATCAGATGTGTGATGTAAGACGTCTGGTGTCAGGTGTCTAATATCACACGTCTGTTAACAGGTGTCTGATATCAGACGTCTGATGTCAGATTACTGTTATCAGATGTCTAACGCCTGATTTCAGATGTCTGTTATAAGACATCTGAGGTCAATAACAGGTGTCTGATATCAGACGTCTGCTGTCAGACGTCTGATGTTAGGTGTCTGATATCGGACGTCTGCTGTCAGATGTCTGATTTCAGATTTCTGTTATCAGACGTCTGACGTCTGACTTCAGATGTCTGATGTCAGATATCTCAGTTCAGATGTCTCATTTCAGACGGCTGATTTCAAAGGTCTATTATCAGACGTCGGATGTCAAATTTCTGATATCAGACGTATGACGGCTTATTTCAGATGTTTCATCTCAGACGTCTGTTTTCAAAGGTCTTATATCAGACTTCTGATTTCAGATGCCTGTGATAAGACTTCTGATGTCAATTGTCTGAAATCGGACGTCTGAAAACAGGTGTTTGATATCAGACGTCTACTTTCAGATGTCTGATTTCAGATTTCTGTTATCAGACGTCTGACGTCTGACTTCAGATGTCTGATGTCAGATATCTCAGTTCAGATGTCTCATTTCAGACATCTGATTTCAAAGGTCTATTATCAGACGTCGGATGTCAAATTTCTGATATCAGACGTATGACGGCTTATTTCAGATGTT